AACACATTTTAACCCCTTCAGGACGGAGTCAATAGTACACGTTCTGATCAAAACAAAATGTAACCAAAAACTGGTATTTGCGCTAAATGTCTGTTCAACCACAATTCACCTCTTTCATATTAATATCTCATGAACTATTAATATTTGAAAAATAATTTATTATGAATAAAATTTGAAAAAACTGTGAGAAATTAAGATTTTTTTAAAAATTTGTAGACATTTTAGCTGTAAATGTCATAATACCGTTAGCTTTAACTGCAAAAAAAAATGTACATATTTGGATTCAGAAAAGTCTCACGAGTACAACAGGACCCCCCATTAACAGTTGTTACGGTGTTTTTGAAAGTTAAAGGGTCAAATATAGCACATTCCATTTTTCAGTTTTTTCAAATTGAAATTCGCCAGGTTGGTTATGCTGCCTTTGAGACAGTGTGGTAGCCCAGGAATGAGATTTACCCCCATGATTGCATACAATTTGCAAAAGTAGACAACCCAAGGTATTGCAAGTGGGGTATGTCCAGTCTTTTATAGTAGCCACTTAGTCACAAACACTGGCCAAAGTTAGCGTTCATATTTGTTTTTGTGTGAAAAAAGCAAAAACTACTAATATTTGGCCAGTGTTTGTGACTAAGTGGCTACTAAAAATGACTGGACATACCCCATTTGCAATACCTTGGGTTGTCTACTTTTTCAAACGGTATTCCATCATGGGGGTAATTTTCATTCCTGGGCTACCATACGGTCTCAAATACAACGTAACCAATCTGGCAAATTTCAATGTGAAAAAAATGAAATGCAAGCCTTATATTTGACTCTCTAACTTTCCAAAACACCATAAAACCTGTACATATGGGGTACTGTTATACTTGGGAGACTTCACTGAACACAAACATAAGTGTTTCAAAACAGTAAAACATATTACAACAATAATATCGTCAGTAAAAGTGCCGTTTGTATGTGAAAAATGCAAAAAACGTCACTTTTACTAAATATATCATCGTTGTAATACAATTTATCATTTTGAAATACTAATATTTGTGTTCAGCAAGTCTCCCTAGTAAAACAGTACCCCCCATGTACAGGTTTTATGGTGTCTTGGAAAGTTACAGGGTTAAATATAGCGCGTGCGAATTTAATTCTCTACACTTGCTGCCTGGGTTGTCAGGCATGTCAATCAAATTTTAATTAATTAAATCACATAATTATGTTAAAAGATTACTTAAATATACACATAGAATTTTTATATATATACATATATATGTATTTAAATTCTATGTGTATACTTATGTAGTTAGTTATATAATTATATATATTTATCTATATAGAAATATTTGCAGTTATTTGTATTTTATATATAGATAGATATATATAGAATGTCATTCTAAGTGTATTTTGTTACCAATGTATATATATATTAATAACAAAATACGGTTAGAATGAGATTACATATGTATACATAATTTATAAAAAATTTATTTACTATTGTAATTATCCGTGTATATATAAACATAATATATATATATATATATTATATATACAATATATATATATCTTATATATATATATATATATATATATATGTAACGTCATTCTAAGTGTATTTTAAGATTAATATATGTACTTATATTAACATTAAAATACATTACAAATTACATATATATATGTTACATATATATATATATAAATACATTTATTTTATTTTAAACTTGTCTAATAATATTTGTATTATTCTTCCCACCAGCAGGGGGACTGTCTGACATTTCAGACAGTCCCCCTGCTGACAGATCCACATCCAGCTATAGGGAGCCATATTTGCCAGGGGAGGGCTGCCTGGGCTGTAAGGCAGAGCCCTCCCGAAGTGATCGCGAAGTGATCGCGTTCCGCTGTATAAAGCTCCCAGTAATGTGCAGTGTGTATGAGTGTATCACAGAGCTCCGCTGTATAAAGCTCACAGTAATGTGCAATGTGTATGAGTGTATCACAGAGCTCCGCTGTATAAAGCTCACAGTAATGTGCAATGTATATGAGGGTATCACAGAGCTCCGCTGTAGAAAGCTCCCAGTAATGTGCAATGTGTATGAGTATATCACAGAGCTCCACTGTATAAAGCTCCCAGTAATGTGCAATGTGTATGAGTGTATCACAGAGCTCCGCTGTATAAAGCTCACAGTAATGTGCAATGTGTATGAGTATATCACAGAGCTCCGCTGTATAAAGATCCCAGTAATGTGCAATGTGTATGAGTGTATCACAGAGCTCCGCTGTATAAAGCTCACAGTAATGTGCAATGTATATGAGTATATCACAGAGCTCCGCTGTATAAAGCTCACAGTAATGTGCAGTGTGTATGAGTGTATCCCAGAGCTCCGCTGTATAAAGCTCCCAGTAATGTGCAATGTGTATGAGTGTATCACAGAGCTCCGCTGTATAAAGCTCCCAGTAATGTGCAATGTGTATGAGTGTATCACAGAGCTCCGCTGTACAAAGCTCACAGTAATGTGCAATATGTATGAGTGTATCACAGAGCTCCGCTGTATAAAGCTCACAGTAATGTACAATGTGTATGAGTGTATCACAGAGCTCCGCTGTATAAAGCTCACAGTAATGTGCAGTGTGTATGAGTGTATCACAGAGCTCCGCTGTATAAAGCTCACAGTAATGTGCAATGTAAATGAGGGCATCACAGAGCTCCGCTGTAGAAAGCTCACAGTAATGTGCAATGTATATGAGTGTGACGAAACGCCTTTTGTCACCAGATTTTCCCCTGGCTGTTGGAGGAGCCTGATTGCCAGCCTCTTGCCTCATGACTATGGCCCTGGGTTATTTGGCCCTTCAAGTACAATATTTGGGCATATTGGATTTGTATGGTGCTGCTGCTGGCCCTTTAAAAACCATCCCTGGACATATTATGACTTTTAGGAACAATGTCCCTTTAAGACTATGTAGCAGATTGCATTCAGGCGGTCTGCAATATTATATATGCTATTATGTATTCGGTAAATTGTAAATGTGTAGGTGCTATGTGATAAATGTAACAGTATGTATTTTTATGTCTTTTGTTGTCCTTTGTCTGCCATGTGGCTAATGGAGTTTTGCCTCTGTCCTTGGAGATAATTAGATTACTTCTCAATTATCTCCAGGATAGAAGACTCTGAAACCAGTTTGGGCCAGATAGCCATGCTGCCAGCCAGGCCCCAAAAGATACTTGTGCTAACTTTTGAACCCCTTGTCTGATTCATGCCATTTTATAATATGTTGTTCCCCTAAATGGATTGATTGTGAATATGTAATTTTATGTGAATGTGATGTATGGTTTTAAAGTTATGAAAGTTGGGTAAAAAGTATGTTTTAACTGTATGTGTAATTGAGTTTCCTCTTAGGACAAGGGGAGGGAATATGTGGGATATAACTGTGATGTGATTGGTTGTTTTATACCTCCCTGTGGGCGGTCCTGGATTACAAACACTGTAATAAAAACCAGGCTGGGTGAGTTCCTGCTTAACCCTCAAAGTGAAGTGTCGTCTCATTATTGGGGGAGGATTTATTGTATGCTGTTCCAGTTTGACTGCTAGGAGAGTAAATCTATCCGTATGGTTCCTATTCGGCTGTATACAGCATTCATATGCTAGAGAGGATTCCTATGCTTCTCAGATTTGGTGGTTGTGGTGTCTGCTGCAGTGCTTGAAGTCCTCAGGAAGTGCTAGGATTATCCTTCAACGGAGGTACCCGGTCGGCGTGCCAGGTGATCCATTACAATGAGTGTATCACAGAGCTCCGCTGTAGAAAGCTCACAGTAATGTGCAATGTATATGAGTGTATCACAGAGCTCCACTGTATAAAGCTCACAGTAATCTGCAGTGTGTATGAGTGTATCACAGAGCTCCGCTGTATAAAGCTCACAGTAACGTACAATGTATATGAGTGTATTACAGAGCTCCACAACAACAAAAATTCTCATTTTAATGTACAATGTTTATGAATGTATCACAGAGCTCCTCAGAATTAACCACCTAAGGACCAAGGCTATTTTTAGATGTGACACAACCTTTTTGGAGATTTTGTGTTCATGCGTTCATTCTATCACAATTTCACCCTCTGTTTAAGTGCATCCATACATATTATATATCACTTTTTAATGGAAATACGTAATGACATTGTGGCAGAAATGCCTCTGACACATGTTCTTGGAGGGGCTTGCTTGCCAGCCTCCTGCCAAAAGACTATGGGCCCTTTAAAAAAACTTATGTGGTTTATGTACTTTTGTAATCCAGAAAGAGAGACCGACCGTTAGCCCTGATTCCCTGGAACTGTTTTGGGCATAGGACCATGTGTACAGTCGGTCAAAATTATTACTTCCATGGTAATCCTGAACCCCCGAACCGATCTGGGTGATTTTTGGATATGTTGGTCCCCCAGATCAGGACTTTCAGGGGACAATCTTGGAGGTTTTGTGGGGGTTTTCATGTGTTTTAGGGGTACTTTTAGGGTGTTGTTGTATTGCATGTTTCTTGTACTGAGAGATAATTTAATTATATGTTTGTGCACTCAAGTAATTATCTCCCAGGCACAGGGGAGGGATTGACCTATTTTGTATGGTAGTTTCCTGGACCTGAGAGGCAATGTAATCATGTGTATGTTTTTACTGTAGTCTCCTCTCAGATCCAGGGGGGAGTGCCCCTTGCATTGGGACCTGGATAGAAGGCCAGTTGTGGCTGCCAATAAATGAGTTCCTGCTTACCCTCAATACAGAGCCTCGTCTCGTGATTGTAGGGAACAGCTATAAAAGCTATAATCCCTGAAATTGTTCTCTGGATTGCTATAATCACTAGGTCTTGTAAGAGCTACACTGCTATACCTGCTCTGCTCTCCAGAGATAATTGAGTTGATACAGTAATTAACTCAATTATCTCCCAAGCAGAGGGAAGGGATTGTGTGTAATGTAGCCCATGTAGCAGCATAGCTAAGGGGAGTGGGCCGTGACATTGCCAGGAGACAGGCATCTAAGGGTCAGTGGTTGGGGATTGGTTTAAGGAAATGGAGTGGGGTGGAGTTATAAGGGGAGTATAAGTAGTGGCCATTTTAGATCTAGGGATCACTTTAATCTAAGTTGCACTTACCTGTTGTTGTGGCAGGATTTGTGTGGCTTTTTCTTTTGTCTCCTCTGCAGGTTGTCAGCAAGATGGAAGATTGGCTGGAAGGAGTCCGGGCAGCAGTGCAGGAGAGGGGTGTCGAGTGGCTGAGGGATCACCTTGGAGATGCTTTGCAGTCCGGATCAGGAAGCTCCCAGGGTCAGAGGCCGGTCAGGAGGGCAAGGATCCCGCAAAGGCTGAGCCCCAGCATGGTTCCAGGTTCCCGGCATCCAAGGAGCCCTTCTGGAGGTCCCGATGGCGGCGGTGAGACTGTCGGCGAGAATGCAACAAGTGAAGGAGGTCGCTGGAGGCATCGCAGTACAGCCGCACGAACACGTTGTCAGACGAGGCCCGAATTGCAGGTTGCTGGTTCGGGAACCGAATCTGAAACTGCCGAACGTTCCAGGAGTGAACATGGAGGTAGGAGAGCTGACGATAGGGCTGGAACTGCTGAACGTTCGGGAGACGAACGCGGAGGTACTGATACTGCCGAACGTTCGTTTTTTGTTTCCTCTCTTACAGGGAATGAAGGAGAAGTGTCTGCTGGTGACAGGAGTTCCGGAAAGCGGCCATTACAGGCAGGATCCAGCAGAAAAAGGAGGAGTGGTACAGCGGGCTTCGCAGCAGGTCTTGGGAATGCTGGAAGTGCTGTTGGTGGAGCGGGGACAGCTGCGGCACATCGTCGGGGTGAGTCGACCTCTGACGCCATTGCCCCTCCAGTTGCTGGGCCACGGGTTACCCCGGTGGTGGGTCCCAGTGTTAGCATGGTTGGTGACGGCAGGGTGGCAGGAGGCAGGCGGGGGACTGCTAGGGCACGGAGTGGAATGGAAGGGTATAGCGATACACGACGCCCCAGAGTCTCCCCAGTCAGGGTGCGGGAGCGCAGCGCTTCCCCAGGGTCTCCCATACGACCGGGCTGGGGACGACAACAGGCGGGCCAGGTCATCAGGGAAGGATCAGAAAGGAGTGCCAGCGAGGGACAGCGCAGAGGGTCGGCACCCTCCAAGAGGATAGCGTGCAGGGCTCTAGCGAAGGGCGCACGGGGCGCAAGCAGGCACCGGTTGCGTAGCAGCCATCGGAGGGTGACTGACGTAGATGACACGGACCCCTGCGGGGTGGATCACACCCGGGGGCAGTGTAGGGTGCCCCCTGTCAGGACGCATGCCTGGAGGCAGCAGGAAGACAGTTCCATGAGCAGGAGTTCCCTGGAGAGAGTGCGGGCAGCTGCACAGGCTCACGGCCCTCAGGGACGGATGGCTAGTGGGGAGATCGGTTACAGAGAGGGGACGGGGCAGGGTTTTCACGGCCAGCCTACCCAGGATGTCTTCTCCTTGCAGGTCTCAAAGACGGTCACCCTTGGTGAGGGAGAGATACCACGCGTTGAGGACATCAGGACGGTCACCGGCAGGCAAGACGGACCCGGTTGCCGGACAGCCGTCTTCAAGGTCGCCCGCGGATCGGGTGAGACCCAACGCTGCGGGAATCTGGCCCGGATCAGTGGAACGCTTAAGGGAAGGACATTCATAGTCTGTCGGCAACCCCACGGCCTTCGGTGGCAAGGGGTGCGGAAGGTGAGACATTGTCGTTGCAGCAGTCAGGGGAGCTTTTAGATGGCATCAAGCAGCTAATTGATTCTTGGGGTGTAGGGAAAAGGAGGGACGGGGATTGCAGTCAGGTTTGGGCTCAGCTGGGGGAGGTCATTTGGTCGAGTCCAGTGGTGGTTTCGGGGGCCGGGGCAGCACGTTTGGGGACGGCGGTACGACCCCCGCGGTGGAGGCGCCTGGATTTGCGAGCGAGAGGGACAATTTACTTGGGGGTGTCCCGGAGGCCGCGCGGCAGAATGTACATGTTTCTTTTGCGGGCCCGTTGGGCTGTCATCTAAAACTTAAGGTGAAGGAGAGGATCTGGAAGCGGGAGTTCGTGGAACTCTTTTCGCTTCTCCCCCTTGAGGACTACATTGACCTCAAGGAGGAGGATAAAAAGGATGCTAAAGAGGAGGAGGAAAAGAAACGGTGGTATATGAAGATCCCTAAGATGTTTGGGAATTGCTTAAGGGCGTTCTGCATCTTGGCCAGCGTGATGGGCGAAAAGGCAGTGGAGCGCTGTTCACAGCTTTTTTGTTACCTGGATGGAATTTGGGAGCCGTATCGCACGTACAGGGGTCTGGCATGGTGGTGATATGACAAGCAGTTTCGTCAGCGCCTGACTGCTAATCCGGGGATGCGGTGGGACCAGATGCACCTACCACTCTGGATAAAACTTATGATGGTGCAGAAGGCGTCTCCCTTTCAGCCGGGGGCCGGCATGGGCGTTTCCACCCCCGTGTCGGCCAACCAAAAACAGGGCTATTGTTGGCTATATGACGAGGGACAGTGCAAGTGGGGGGCCATGTGTCACTTCAAGCACGAGTGCTCCAGGTGTGGAGGCACCCACTGACTCCACAGGTGCTTTAAAAAAGGTAAGTTGGCTCCCGCACCGGGGGTGCCCGGAGGTTCGGCCACATCCCCTGCAACTGGGAGCAACGCCAGTGAAGGTCGGCGCGATGCTACCATGGCTAAGCCGCTATGCTAACCGGGAGGATGAGTTGTTGCTCGAGGAGGGGTTTACTAAAGGGTTTGTGATCCCGTTTCGGGAACGGGTGGTGGTTCATCGTCTTCGCAACCTGAAGTCGGTGGGGGAATTTCCGGGGGTGGTTAGGGAGAAGTTGCTTAAGGAGGTCCAGTTGGGCAGGGTGGTGGGACCGTTCAGGTAGCCCCCTCTACCTAAGTTGAGGGTATCACCGCTCGGGCTGGTACCCAAGAAGGAGCCGGGTAAGTACCGCCTGTTACATTACCTGTCCAAGGGGTCGTCGGTTAACGATGACATTGACAAGGACCTTTGTTCGGTGTCGTACGCTTCGTTCGACCATGTGGTGAATGTGGTGCAACGAGTGGGGCATTCTTGGCAAAGGCAGACGTGGAGGCGGCTTTTCGCCTTTTGCCAATTCACCTGAATTGCCATCACTTGCTGGGATGTCACTTCGACGGTAAGTATTACGTGGATATATATCGTGTGCGTACTTCGAAAAATTTAGCACGTTTCTGGAATGGGTGGTGAAACTGGAAGCGGCACTAAAATGGTGGTTCATTACCTAGATGATTTCCTATGTGTCGGGCCTCACGGATCAGAGGAATGCCGCATGGGACTGAGGACATTAGAATGGTTGGTTCACGTTTTTGGAGTCCCCTTGGCGAGTGACAAAACGGTGGGGCCTACGACATGCTTGAGTTTCTTGGGCTTGGAGATTGACTCGCTCAAAGGGGAGTGTAGGCTGCCAAAGGACAAGTTGCTGGCACTCCGGAAGGCAGTGGCGGAAGTGCGGGTCATGCTCCGGGCGCTTCAGTCGCTGCTGAACCGGCTAAACTTCTCCTATCGGGTGATTCCGGTCTGGGGGGTCTTTAACAGGTTCCTAGCTAGGGCGACGGGGGGAGTGGTGTTCCCGCACCACCTTATTCAGGTCTCAGCTGCTATGAAGGCCGGTCTGGGGGGAATTCTTACGGGATTTTAATGGGAAGGTGTTCTTTCGGGAGCCAGCGGAGTCTAACCCGGATCTGGAGCTGTTCACGCATGCGTCCAAAACGGATGTACTGGGAAAAGTTGGTTATGTTGTGGGAGCTCCCGGGTGGGGAAAACGTGTCCGGTTAGGTGCGCAGCGAACTTCCAGGAGGAGTGGGCGACAGCCGGGGGTTCATATTTTAAGCATGAGGACGGCTCTTCGCTGTCAAAGTTCCAGTTCCTCAGGGTTTTTCGGACAGCGTTGGGAGCGGACCCGGGTCAATTCGGGAATCATTCCTTTAGGATTGGCGCAGCTACTGAAGCGGCAAGACTGGGCTTGGGAGATGATCGGGTGAAGAAGATTGGCAGGTGGGAGTCGATGAGGTTCAGATCTTACGTCAGGCCAGACAAGTTGGTATAAATCCTAAGGGTGGTTGATGGGGAATTTTGGTTTCGTGGCTTGTTTCGTGGTTGTCTATGTTTGCTTTATGTCTTACAGGTCGGATGGCATGGGTGGTCAGCCACTCATACATATACTGGGCGCATCGGAGAGCTGCAGTTCGACATCGTGGTCTACAGCTGGGCTTTCCAAGTTCCCTGGTTCAGCTTCGGTGGTTTGGTTACCAGGGTTGGGGTTGAAATGCAATTTGTGTTGAAATGTTTCACAAAATTATTTTGGGACAGGTTCCGGACATAGTGGTGCTTCACGCAGGGGGCAATGATGTGGGGTTGTTACCTCAAAAGGTATTGATTGAGCATATAAAGAGGGATGTGGACAAGCTGAGAGAGTTAGTGCCGGGGGTTATGGTGGTATGGTCGGAGATGATTCCCTCTTTTACTGGCGACACTAGTGGAACCCCTCCGCAGTGGCAAAAATTAAGGGAAAGGTCAATAAGGTGATGGCAGCATATGTGAAGCAGTTGGGAGGGGTTGTAATTCGGCACAGGGAGTTGGAAGACATGCTTCCAGGTTATTATAGGCGCGATGGGTTCCATCTCTCCGAAGTGGGCTTGGATTTTCTATTGTTGGGTTTTCAGGAGGGTCTCCAGAGGGCAATCTTTTCTCTGGGATGGGGGGGGTGTTGCTCAGGAGCTCAAAGGAGTCAAGCTCTGAGCTGTGGCGGGGGATGGAGAGTAAAGTTGGGGGGAGGAAAGAGTGAGATGGGGAAAAAAGTTTGGAGTTCAGGGCTAACAGGTAGGCCTTTGGACTGGTTTGGTAGGTTTGAGCTCGTAGGCAGCTTCGAACCAGGGTGTGTAGCGGTGTCTCGGTATGCCCCTACACTTGTGGTGCCCTTTGGTGGCAGTGGACATGTTTCAATGTTAAGTTAAATGTTACAATGTTTGGGTATTATGTTATGTGGGAGTAGGTCCTTGTCAAGGGGTTTAAATTGTAAAATGCAGGATGGTAATTGTGCAGGCCAACGTTGGCCTGCTGTTGACAATGACCTTTATATTTTATGTTAACAATCAATAAAACTGTGATATAATTTTTGCCAAAAAACCATGGTGTTAGTGTTTTATTGGAAATGGGTATTGGTGGGGTTTAAGAATATGCCGACAAGGCGACCGTGCACATGTCATGTATGGGAGTATCCCACTGTATGACTCTGTTTTTATTGGTTTATTCACTTTGTGTCCCTGGGCCCAACAAGGTCCACCTGGGTGTCACCCTTGTTGAGAAACTTGCATAAAAGGCCAGTGTGCCTCCAATAAAAATCAGTTCTGCTTAACTCTCAACACATAGCCTTGTCTCGTGCTTTTAAGGAACCTGCTTCACAACTAATCACTAGCTCTTGTAAGAGCTCTACTATCTATTAGGATACCTGGTTGGCTGAGATGACATCTGGAGAACACTGCAGCACTGCTCCTTCCATGGGAAAAGGAAGTCCCTAACAGCGTATACCCCTCGATACTCAGGGTGGCCGCTAGGTGGTCATGGTGCTAAAACCCATCAAAGAGAATAACCTCCAGGCATCATGGCAGGGCCCTTACAAACTGGTAGCGCAGATTTGCGACACCACATATGTAATTGCCAGTAGTGTCGACAAGAGAGTAAGGAAGACCTTTCACATAAACATGTTAAAGGAATATCAGGAAAGGCAGGAGGACGTAGCTGCTATATGTATTCCCGCTACCGAAGACCCGGACAGTCTCCCTATACCAGACTTACTAGATGACAATTCTCAAGTTGACCTTCTTAGTATGGTAAAACTAGGTGAGCGACTAAACCCTGAGTAGAGGAGACAAATCCGACAGTTGCTAGAAGGGAAAAGACTGACATTCTCCCAAGAACCCAGGTTCATGACCTTAGATACTCACCGAGTAGAAATCCCAGGCCAAGCCCCACTCAGGCAACCCCCTTACCGCATCCCTGAGGCAGTCCGGGACGGGATGAGAAAAGAGATCCAAGACATGCTCAAGTTGGGTGTTATTGAGCCCTCAGACAGCCCCTGGGCTTCCCCAGTAGTTCTGGTACCTAAAAAGGACGGGACCACGCATGGATTACTGACGACTTAATGACCAGACAGTGACTGACGCCTACACGATGCCCCAGGTAGATGAGCTCCTAGAACATTATCTGACCCCCATCGATCTCTGAAAATGTTATTGACAGGTTCCCCTGGCCAAGGAGGCTATCCTCAAGTCGGCCTTTGTCACCCCGTTTGGCCTATACCAATTTAAGGTTATGCCATTCGGGATGAAAAATGCCCCAGCCACTTTCCAACGCTTGGTGGATTCCAGGACTTCGCTTATGCATACCTGGATGACATAGCGATCTACAGCAAGTCCTGGGAAGAACAGTTGGTACATGTAGGGGCCGTACTGGATGAGATTCGGGCCGCTGGCCTGATCCTGAAACTGGATAAATGCCATATGGGCATGGCCGAAGTCCAGTACCTGGGACACTGGGTAGAGTGTGGGAAACAGCGACCAGAACCTGCAAAAATTGAGGCAGTCGCCAACTGGTCCACACCCCGCACTAAGATCCAAGTACTGGCCTTCCTGGGGACAGACGGTTCGTACCCGACTACAGTGCCATCGCCAAGCCCCTGACTAAAGAGAACCTACCCAGACAAGTCCTGTGGTTTCCCACCTGTGAAACAGTCTTCCAAGCCCTAAAACACACATTGATTCATGCTCCTGTAGTAACTGCCCCAGTCCCTAACAAACGCTTTATCGTCTATACAGACGCTTCCATGTACGAGCCAGGTACCCTGTTGAGTACCTTTGCCAAAAAATACTACCCAGAGAAGTGAGTTACGCGGCAGTGGAGAAGGAGTGCCTGGCCTTGGTGTGGGCCCTGAAAAAAATGACTCCCTATTTGTATGGCCAGGAATTTACCCTCCTCACCGACCACAACCCATTGGTGTGGATAAACCTGGTTGCAGGTGATAATGGCCAGCTATTGCTGGGGAGCTTGGTGCTCCAACCTTACAACTTCTCCATCCAATACTGGCCCGGCAAGCAGAACGGCAACGCGAACGGGTTGTCCCGGCAAACAGAACTGTAGCAGCAGTCCGGAAATCCCCAAGTTGACCCAAAAAAGATCAAGCTAAGTCTGCCGGAGTGTTCCACATAGGGGGAGCCATGTAACAGATGCCCTGTTCGCTGGACTTATATTTGGTTGCCATTCTGAATGTGATTTTGTAATGCCATTTGCCTAAAACGGTATACGAACTAAGGTTGAACATTTTACCGAACATTTCGACCACCCAAGACAGTCGTGTACCGCCAATTGACCTATTTGACACTATTCCAAACTGCAACTCTGAACGATCTAAGTGGTTCACTGGGTGGCCGTCAATTCGTATGCACGAACACGTGGCGGTGGCCATCTTGTTTTGTCGAACGCTTCCAGCAGGGTTTGGTCGTCGAGTGTCTGGAACTATTTTCGGACACTCAATGCCCCGAACACAGCTGAGACTTCCATGACCACTTAGATTCGTCCTAATTCATCCAAAGGCGGCGGCATTCTGTAAAAACAACACACAAAGAGGCACACGAGTACCTTACGCACAAATGATTATTTAAGATATTGTTCGACATTTTAAACTGCACGGGTAGAAATAGGACTTCCATATAACTTTTGAATCCCTAAACTGATCTGAATGATTTTTAAATATGTTGTTTCCCCTGATCGGGGCTATCAGAAGATGTACATTTTATGGGGTTTTGATTTTGGGGTGTTTCCAGAAATGTATGAAAATCGTCCTTTTTTTGTTTGGAAATAATTGAGTTGATACAGTAATTAACTCAATTATCTCCCAAGCAGGGGATTGTGTGTAATGTATGGGAGTGTCCCACTGTATGACTCTGGTTTTATTGGTTTATTAACTTTGTGTCCCTGTGCCCAACAAGGTCCACTTGGGTGTCACCCTTGTTGGGAAACTTGCATAAAAGGCCAGTGAGCCTTGATTAAAAATCAGTTCTGCTTAACCCCCAACACATAGCCTTGTCTTGTGCTAGTAAGGAACCTGCTTCACAACTAATCACTAGTCCATTTCTTTGTATCCTAATGTCCCTCTTTTCTAGGAGCTCCATATTGTTGGTGTATCTATGTGTTTAACAGAGCTCCCCAGCAATAATACTCCCAGTGTTGGGAATAATACACTTTGCCTATACTGACCCAAGGCTCAAGCTACAGATGACAGGATGCTAAGTCTGTTTAAAATTGGCTAACTTGGAGCATGTCAGCTATTTGAAATATTATACTTTATCTATATCCAATGCTTAGTGAATATACCTCTAGACAAGTGCTAGAACATCGTGTAACAAGTAACAGGTGTTATATATTGTATGTTTCTGTTGTCGGCCTTATTTCCCGAGTTTCTCCCTTTGATCATAACTGCGTAGTAATGTGTTATTTAGAACTGCATAGTAAATATCTTTAAATTCTAAGTGCGAATGCATATTAATTTTAACTGCGTAGTTATAGTGAAACTTAGCTTTGAGCAAGGCCCGAACATGAAGATTCATCTGCAAGCCTGCTATAGGTTAAGATGTTAAGATAAGATAGATGATTTTATTAAAATTGGATAATGCTTGTAAAGACCACCCCTGTTTCCTGCTGAACATAACCGGTTACACAGTCCATTAAATGTGAGAAGTCACTTTGAACCAGTGGCGGATCCAGGGGGGGGGCAACGGGGCAATTGCCCCCCCCCGAGAAATCCGCCGGTCTCCCTCTCCCCTGCCGGCACATGCAGGTGCTAGCCCTGCAATGTGCCTGCGGACCAGGGGGGAGATCAGAGATCTCCCTCCCCGGTCCGCAGGCACCGTGCTGACAGCCGACGGCGGAGGGAGGGAGTGAGAGAGGACCCGGAGCTCAGGCTGCAGCTCCGCCGGGTCCTCCTCACTCGAGATTTGGAGCGTTGCCACGGTTACCACGGCAACGCTCCAAATCTCACGAGAGTGAACTCTAGC